GAACCACAGTGTGTGTGTGTATGTTGAAAATGGGTGTGGGTGAATATATATATATATATATATATATAACTCTCACCTTCTGTTCCTCCCCCAACTCCCCCGCTCTCTCTCTCCCCCTCTCTCTCCTGCCTCGTACCCCCTACGGTGGCCCTGATGGGCCGTAGCCTTTCATTTGCTCATTCCAGTAATTGGTCTATGTTAGGAGGACGGGGGAGGTACATGTGTTCTCCTCCTCACCCTCCTCACCCCTCCTCCTCCTCCTCACCCCCCCCCCCCCCCCCACGCCCTGCCCTAAAATGAAAAATCTGCCTCCTCCCTCTTGTCCATAATCTCTAACATCGTGATTATTCCCCGTGCGACAGAACGAATAATTTTTCCGCCTCTGGGCCGCGGGACGTACGTCACGTGACTCGCGACGTCATTTACATCGTGATTAATTTTTTCGTTAAAGGAAGTTCATGGAGACAAATGACTGTTAAACGAATGGCCTGACGTTCCTGGAGAGAAGGTTCTGCTGCAGGTCGTTCTCACCCTGGGTGGAAAATAATAACAACTCCATGACGCTGGGTTTTTTTTTTTTGGTTTGTTTTTTTTAAACTGGAAGTGGAGTTCAAATTGCTTTGACTAATTAATTGCCCGTATGGAGTGAATGAGAAATGAAGTACATTTTTTCACTCAAGTATCAATCAGTGCTGGTAACCTTTCCTGCTTCACTTTAAATCAATTTACATTAGGGAAAAAAAAAAAAATCCCCGGTGATAATCCTTCGTTATCAGCTGCTTTTTTTTCGCCCCGTTTTGAGTTGAATTAAAAATTATACTGTGATGGCCGTTTTAACAAACCAATATTCATCCAGAGGCCATGGAACAATTGTTGTTTTTTTTTAACAGTGTGGTATTTAATTTGAATGCATTAGTCTCCTCCCCCGTGTCTCCATATGGATGAGGAGAGACAAAATGAACAGGTTTTTAAACTAACTTGCAATTTGATGCAGACTTTTTCTTTTTTTTTTTGTCAAGAAAACACTCATTTAAATGACAATAAGGCAGCGTTCTGCTCAGCAGTCACAGTGGAAATGTCATAATCATAATGATGTGCCGTAATTATGTTTATATGTTTATTATTGAATTCGCAAAAAAAGAAAAAAAATTGCTAACCCTCACCCTATAAAAACTAGACTTTGAATGGAGTCGCACCAAAATACAGTATAATTATTTATAAATTGAGGAAATATTCAAGTTTAGTTATATATGTATATATGTATGTATGTATGTCTATATATACATATACACACACATGTATGTATAAATGTGTTTATATATGTTTATATAAACATATACACATATATTTATGTATGTGTATATATGTGTATATATGTATGTATATATATATACACATATATTTATGTATATATGTGTATATATGTATGAATATATATATATATGTATATATACATGTACATATATGTGTATATATGTATGAATATATATATATATGTATATATACATGTACATATATGTGTAACAGCATGAGGAGAAAGAACAGAGGAGGTGGTGGGGGGAGGGGGTGCCTTGATGAGGGCGCAGAGGTGAGGAGCGGGGGTGCAAGGGAGGTGTGAGGTGGGGGAGTGAGAAGACATATGGAAAAGGTGGAGACGGGAGGACAGGAAGAGGGGGGGGTGTAAACAAGAGCACAAAAAAAAGAAAGACAAATCTTTTGTAAAGCTCCCGCGTGGAGCGGCGCCCTGATGAAATCACGGGCTGAGTGAAATCCGATTGGCTGCAGGTGTGAGCCGCACGCTACAGTTCACTTCCCCGCACCGCGTCGCCACCGCGCGCTCAGAAATAAACTCGCCAACAGGTGGAGGGCTTGTCGATATGGATTTGTGAGGAGATGCTTGTAGACGGAACAGACGACTGAACAGGACCCCCGCCCTCCCCCCGTCAATATTAATTATCTTGTAAATCTTATCAGAGGAAGTGATGTGCAAAACAAACACAGGGAGAAGGGGAGGAAGGGGAGGAAGGGGAGAGAGAAGAGAGGGGGAGACGCACATATGTGAAAAAGAATTGTGTTTTTAATGTCAGATGAAGCTCCGCCGTGAATCTACAGTCTGAGGGTGGAGACCAGGTTTATGAGGGAAAGGGCAACTTTTGGAGGGAGCTTACGTTTGTCCTTTTAGGTTTATTAGATGTGGTGAAGGTGGAAGGAGAGGGGGGAGGACAGGGGAGGACGGGGAGGGAGGGGGGTCGATCCACGAGTCGTTTCAGGTGAAGAGACTCTGACACTAAAACTGGTGTTGGTGTGGACCAGACTACCACCAGTCCAGCTGGTCAGTTCAACATTAGTTCTCAAACTATGGTTCGCGTGCCACTGTACTCTTTGTACTACAGTATATGCAGTACATGTTGAAATATATTTTTTTTTTCCCGCCCTGGTTGATCTGTAGCCGCTCTTCTTTTGCCCCTCGTGTGTAAACGCACTGTTCCATGGTTAACCTGACAGGCAGGAGGCCTTGTGAGAACGTGCAGCTGAAGGTGGCGCTGCAGGGAGGGGACAGTGGACCAGCAGCTTGGCCTCCACAACAACAGGTGTCGAGGTCTGGTGCGGAGGCCAAGAGAAGGAGGGAGGGGAGGTGAGGAGCCGTGGAGAACAGCAGGGTGTGAGGTGGAAGGGTGAGAAGAGTGAGGTGGAGGGGTGGGGGGGTGTTGTGAGTTGAAGAAACCTCACCCTGGGTTCACAGGATTTCACCCAGTCCTTTCATTTCTGCCTCCCTGCTTCAGCTTTTCATCACACATTTGACTCCGATCGTCATAATTTTTTTTTTCCGTCTAAATTCTGTTTTTTGACCCTGAAAATTAAATCAAAACTCCAGGAGGCTACGTTTTCATTGAAAGGTTTTTGAAAATCACATTGCTTACCATGTTTTTTTTGTTGTTTTTTTTAGTAGATATTTTTTTAGTAGATATTTAACTTATTTAGTTAAAAGTTATCCAAAAATTTCTAAAACTTAGCTGAAAGGATTCAGAGTTGACTAATGACAGTCAGGGTAAAAACGTCTAAAACTTGTACGATAGTAATGGTAACAAAAAAGTAAAACTATTGAATATATATATATATAAAAAAATTGGGGTTCAATTCCCACAGGAACCACATACTTGGTGCCTCCAGGGGGCAGCCCGCTGTTGACAGGAGAAATCTTTCAGTCGGTTCCAAAAACTGTAATTCACCGGCTGCTGGAACTCAGTTCAGGTTCCGTCGTTTATTTCTACACTGTCAACTCGAAGCAACTCCTAAAAATGGAGCTGAACCTCCTGCGGTTTCACACACACACACAATCAAACACACACACACACACTCACTCACCAGCTCAGAGTGAAACCTGGAGACGATGTTTTTTTTTTTTTTTGTTTTTTTTTAGCGCTCCCACTGATTTCGGTGCCGAGGACAAACACCTGTGCATTATCTGCAACAAAGGTTCCTGGCAACAGTTGTCGGGGAGAGACATCTTCAGGACACACACCTGTCTGATCTGCTGGGGCCCTTTGTGATAAGTGGGGCCTGTAACCATGGCGATCAGGACATGGGACGGATCCATGTGGTGCGAGTGAATAACCTTGGATTGTAAACACACGCCAGGCAAAGACACACACACACACACACTCACTCACACACACACATACGTTGATGCAAAAAAAAAAAAAACGAATAAAAAGAAACATAAATTCTGTTCTTGAAGTTTTGGACAAAACGTTGACAACAATGACACGTTTTTGGTCAAAATATCAGGGAAAAATGTAAAGCTGTCGTAAAACTTAATTTTAGCCTTAAAGTGATTTTACTTTTTTTTTTTATCGTTTAATCTTTAAGATACGTTTAGTTGGGGAAAAAAACCTGAAGAATCTTTCAAAATAGATACAAATATGTAAACAAGTAGCTAACGTCACATTAACTATATTCTGTTAGCTGCGCTGTGGCTAACACAGATGTAGCTTTAACTGGTTAATAAAGCCAGAACGAGCTAAGTTTTATATTTTGTTAGTTTTGGTTATTTATTAGCCAACTCTTTGTGTTTGGGGAGCTAACTTTTAGCCTTTTATTTTCTATCCAGCTATCTGTGAATCTGTGAATCTTTTTTTTTTTACGCTGTTAGCTCCTAATGAGCTACAGGACAAATCGATATCCCGATGCTATCTGACAGAAAATGTAGTCGATCGTTACTTCAACTATTTTTGACACATCTTTTAGCGCAGTGACAAAGTGTTAGCCAAACAAAAAGTGGCCAAAAATAAATACATGTAATTAACATTTGATTCGTTTACGATAAGTTCAGTTCAGAAAGATTAGCGACAATAAATTAGCGCAGCACTGTGAGGTGTTTCACAGTGACAGAAAGCTTTTTGTTTTTCTCCCTTTTTTTTAAATTTTCATCCTTGACACAAACACACACACGTACACACACACACACACACACACACACACACTGTTCAGATGAAGTGACACACCTGCTGTGTGAAAGGCGGCACATTAAGATCACAAAAATCACATCACGGGGGTCTTTCACCCGCAGACAGACTCACAGACAAAACAAAACCTGACATTTTCACTAAATCGAAAAGTAAAAAAAAAAAAAAATTACAATTTTACGCCGTCAGAACCTTCAACGGTTCCAGGCACAGAACTAGGAATGTCAGCGCTGCGACTGAAGCGGTGTGTGTGTGTGTGTGTGTGTGTGTGTGTTGAGACGGCAGATGGCCGATGTGCCGACGGTTACTCACTGTGTGCAGGTGGAACGCGGCGACGTTTTGCTTCTCACTCAGGAACTCTGCCTCGGCCTTGGAGTGGGAGGGGGGTGAGGAGGGGGGGGCAACAACAACAACAGTGAATCATTAACTGCTGTAGTCATTCACATAAAATAGAAAAGAGGGAGAGAGAGAAAAAAAATATCTGTCTGTGCGCACAAATACACAGCTGGCGTCAGCCTTCTCCCACGTTCCTTACTCGGAACCGATGGGAACAGGGCTCCTCCTTGTCGATGCAGATGCTGTCAATCGAGCCTAATTAAGACGTGTGAAAGTGTAAGTGCCGCTCGGAGACGTGTGCACGTGCGGCAGCGAGGCATTGACATGGAAATGAAGCGGCGCTGCGTCGATTATTTAAACACAGACGGAGAAAAAAAGAACGGGATTCGTGTGAACGGACGAACCGGAACTGTGCCCCCCCCCCCCTCCATGTATCGTGGATGTCATGAAAAAGTATTAGTAGTACTAATAGTTTTATGGGATGAGGCCGGACAACCAGCGAGGCTAAAGTGATGCTATGCTAGGATTCCTGCCTGGCTCACAGAAGGTTCTGGGTTCAGTTCCCGCTAATCTCCACCGCCAGCTTGAGTTGTGTCAGAAAGAGAATGAAAAAAAAAAAAAAAACTCCCACCACTGTGGTGACATGTGACAAAGGTCAAAGCCTGATCTGATTGGTCTGTAAAAGAACTGGGCGAGGCCTCACTGAGGGTGGGGCAGGGATGGGGGGAGTCGTCTTAACCTGGTCTACTGGTTTACACACTGGTGTTTCTGATAGTCAAAAAAAATGAAAGTAATTGAAAGTAATTATTTTCAAAATTCGTCAAGCTGGGCCGGATTGAAGTTCCTGAACGTGCCAGTTTTGGCCCATGCACCGTATGTTTGATCCCCCTGATTTATCAGTTGTCTTTACAAGAGTTTGCATCGTCTGTTAACGTCATGTGACTGTTTGTCATCAGTTGAAAATATATGGGTAAAACATCGGCTAATTATTCAGTACGATCCTAAACCATAGAAAATTTAACGGAAAATAAAATACTCAAATGCTCAAAAGTAGCAACAAAAAAAGCTGCTGCGTTTCATTTTTTTGTTTCTCTATTTTTTTACACTCGACAAAAGTGTCAAGCTGTTTGCACCACAGAAGAAGAAGAAACAAAACCCTGCAGATTTACTCATGTGTGAAATCCACATCTTATTTCTGACCTTCCTGTTTTCAGGCCTGATCCCTGCTTTGCATTTGTCTGTGTTTCTCTTTATGCCCACAGTCTTTTGAAGGCTCTATTGTGTCAAATAATTTCATATTATTGTGTAGAAAAAAAAGACAGAGAGAGAGAGAGAGAGAGGTCGAGCCTGACAGCTCAGATGTTAGGGACCGTCTGTCAGTCAGCAGACAGACGGACGGACACCTCTTTTATCCCGTCAGCCAATCATGTCATGAGGAGCGAGCGGCTGCAGCTCCAAACATCTGAATCCTGTTTTCCCTCCTCCTTGTTCCATTTCTAACAACTCGCCTTTTAAATGACACATTTTCTCAGCTTGAGTGAAAAAAAAAAAAAAAAGCAGTGGCTGTGACACGCACCCTCAACCAATCATCGAGTCAGTCCACGCCCCACGTTCACTCTGGACGTCTAATCAATCAATCACTGTCCGCCAGTTTGGACTCTCGTCGAGAACACCTGCTGGTCAACGATGTAGCATGCAGGAATTTTTTTTGTGTCAGCTCTGGTGTCTGTACCATGACGGTTGTAGCTAACGTTAGCGCTGGTATCTGTACCAGGACTTTTGTAGCTAACGTTAGCTCTGGTGTCTGTACTTGGACTGTTGTAGCTAACGTTAGCTCTGGTATCTTTACCAGGACTGTTGTAGCTAACGTTAGCTCAGGTGTCTGTACTTGGACTGTTGTGGCTAACGTTAGCTATGGTGTCTGTTCATATACGTAACTGCCTGCTTTATTCACTAACTTGGCCATTTAAATTGTGTATATAGCACCCCCTGCAGGTAAGCTTCATGTTGTGTGTGTTTACAAACACCAAGGTAAACTTCCTGAATATTCATACTCCAATTAAAATAATAAGGATTTCCTGTGTATCTGCAGTACTATTATCGACCAATGAACGAACACCTGACTGTCAGTAAACCAGTTTCCACCTGCTCTAACTTGTAAACACAACAGCCCCCCCCCCCACAAAAAAAAAAATCGTGCACCAACTCGTTCACACTTTTTTATCTACCTGTCATTATCAGTCGTGCCCACCATCTGTTCAACCATATTTTTTTTTTCAAACCCATTTCTCACCTTTCGGTTGAATTCACTAAACATCTTTTTTTTTATTTTGACTGCTGCTAAGATTCCCCCTGAAAGAAGCCCCCCCCAACCCCCCGCTACCTCCCCACACATATTTTGTATCTTTTGACATTTGCTAGGTTCAAATTCAACATTTGTTGCCAACGTTGCAGAGTTGTTGTTTTTTTTTTTAAGTAGTTAGAAGCTGCGGTGTCTCTTTTTTCCCGTGAGTAGAAAACAATGCTGTGACAGGATAATGATGCATCCAGTCAACACTTCATTAAAGCATCTGTGTCACAGAGCAACTGGTCTGGCAGTGTTTTAACCCCCTGTTCTGTATTCAGAGGAAGTCGGCGCTGCACCCACACAAACGTGGCGGCGGCTCAGGCAGAAACGCCACTCAGTTTATTTAAAATGCGTCTGCAGAACAGGTTGCATTGTGGGTTTAAACCAGGGGTTGTCAAACTCATTCTGGTTCGGGGGCCATGTATGGACATAATTAGATGTGAAGTGGGCCGGACCAGTACAATCATAACATAATGACCTGTAAACAGCAGTAAGTCCATGTTTCTTCCCCTCATGTTTTCCTGCAAATATGTACGACTGTATTAGATTTATATTGAATGAAATATCAACATGATGTTGCCTTTTTTCCACTTTTCAAAATTCATCCATCGGGCCGGATTGAACCCCCCCTTCCGGGCCAGTTTTGGCCCACGTGCCATATGTTTGACCCCCCCGATTTATCAGTTATCTTCACAAGAGTTTGTGTGAGACTGTGACGGGTTCAGTTGTCAATAACACATCGATAGCCAACTGAAACGGGTCGGTCTGTTTTTGGCCCGCGGTCCATATGTTTGACGCCCTTGGTTTAAATGATCATGCCCTTTTAAAAACGACGATTTATCTTGTGGTTAACGTGTACACGCGGTAAAAATGGCCATTGTTTAGCAACAACAACAGCAGATCGGTGCTCAAACACTGGTCCACAGATTTCGGTGGCTGTAGTTTTTCTATAATCTCCAGTCATTAACAATGATTATTGATTTGATTTATGCTAATTGTTTCCTGTCTTTTTTTTTTTTTTTTTCCTAATCGCTGCAGCTCCGCACAAAGCTCTGCTCACAGAAGCCAATAAAACATGGCGCTTCTGAGTCAGGGTTCGGCCGCAACAGTTGATACTCATTTTTTATTTTTTTTTATGTTCTGTGTTTGAATGCTGTCCTATTAGACCTTGGTTCTTTTGTTGATGTGTTCCAGCCTGTGTCGTGAGGCTGGCAGTTTACGAGGCGACTGGCACATCAGGTGCTGACATTTGAAACCAGCGGATTTAACACTGGTCATCCATTAGTCATGTCTGCGAAGCATTAACCCCCGAACTGACGGTTGTGCCGCGTCGCTCTGGAATAGTCGGCACAACCGGGTCTTAAAGGCAGCGTTGGTTATAAAATACAGAAAAACTGTTGATTTTATAAAATGTAAATATGTTTAATATTTGCTTAAAAACTTTAACAACGCATTCCTTTCCCTATGGGTATATATGACATTTATTTTCATTCCTACATGTACATCTGGACTATTTGTTGCCCCAGGTTTCCTTTTGCGTGTGCACTGATTAGTGTAGTCTTATTGAGCGAAAAACTGATTTTATTTTATTTCCTTACTGAATTCTAGTTTTCTGCTGAATTCCTAACCACTAACCAGTGGCTCAGTGTTGGCTACAACAATGGGCCCCAGTATGTGTAGAGCCAGTGCAGGCACAGAGGCATTAGAGGTCAGAAGGCAACAAGATGTTACAGACTTTCTTTACGCTTTCTGGACAGGCACAGAGGCATTAACAACCACCAAAAAACACGTTGTTTGAAACTCCTGCCACATTTTCTGCTGTCATCGTGACAAACATAAATGTTGTTGTTGTGTTGAGTCACAGTCAGACTGACGGTGTCTTCATTTTTCCACAGTCCTTCTAAGGATCAACACGGACCAAAAGTCAAGAGCTTCGGAATCAAACGAATCAAACGAACGACCGCAGTAGACAGCCAACAACAACCAGTGAGTAAATCCTAGAGTCAGTATTTCCACAGTAGTGATTTCATATCTTCTCTCCTCTGTCGGTCTGAACTCTTAACAACAATGTCACCAAAAATACCAACAACGACGATCAAACAGAAATAAAAGCCCACAACACTGTGCCACTGTGCGGCACCACCCGCGCCCACCTCACCCTCCAACCCCCCAATCATTTTTCCCTTCTCCCTGTCATCCTCAGACGAACCCTCGGCTACCTGAAATGCCCTCACCCCCTGCCCTCCCCTCCCTCCCCCCCCTCCACTCCTCACT